TGTAGCCATTCTGGTTTTCTTTCCATTGTTACCAACATATCTTTTGTGAATGGGAAAGCTTTTACCAATCTTTCAGTCTTGCGTCGTTTATTTCTGTAGTTGGTTTTATTTTGTCAAGGAACATGTTTTTCAATACTAACATTTCATTTGGTACTGTCCATTTGAGTTTTTCTTAAATATTCATCCCTTCTCGATTCATCGTCTGCAAAGTAAGTTTTTATGACATTTTGTAAACTTTCGTTTGCAAGGTCATGTACAATAGGTTCTCCCTTCTCTCTCCCTAACTTTCTTTCTAAACTCTTCACCAAATATACCATCTCTATGGTTCTGTGTAGTTCTTTGAGATAAATGTTCTAGAACGTCAGGTGTTATATTTCCATCAGCCATGTTCATTTCATACTGGTCCAAAATATCTGCATGTTTCATATCTTTCAATGGCATTAAAGCCGCGCTTAAATACCAGCTATATCTCGTTCACCATTGACTTCCATTGCGTCTACACTTCTTGAATTGTGGTTGTAAGTTTATGAACACCTATCCGGATTAGCTTTATGACCCATCTCATTGTAGTTCCATCGTCGCAGAAACAAAAGTAGGTTTGTTTCCATCTTGGTTAGGTTCTGAATGAACTTTAACAATGTTTCATTTCTATATGTTTTCTTGAAATTTAACCTTTTATTTTCACCGAGTTCATCCGAAGATTGAACGTTAAATGCTCGTAAGTAAAAAGGGTTGTTGTATTTGTGTACATTTTTTTCAGTTCTTCCATTCTATGCTGGATATTTTCATCTGATGTTGGAGTCTTTTGTATGTCGGCAAACATTTTTCGATATTCTTCTACTATGTCAGCCGAATTTTTTTTAGACTCTTGGAAAGATTCCATATTCCCGCATACTCTTGTTGAGGTCAAGATTTTTCGGCTGTTCCAAATCTTCATCTAGTTCTGTGAAGTTAGTTTCCAAAGGAAGGACTTGTTCGTTTCCTTCAGGCTCTTCTAGCTGTTGTTGCTGAACTATTTCTTCCATGTCTGGTTGTATCTGAACTTCTTCCTGTGGAGTTTTTGTACCTCATCTGCTGGCATTTCATATATTCGAGACCGTTTTCAACAATTTCCCTATCTACGTCATCCGCATTCATAAGCTTTTGTCTCTTTCGTTCGTCTCTATTTTTTACGCGTTTCATGACGAAAGTTGAATTGTCATTTAGCTCTGACATCAAATATCTCGGAGTAAATTCATCCATGTATTTGGATGATATGCTATTAAATCATATCCTTAGCGAGCTTGTATTTCCAGGTTTGAGATTATATCCGTTTTGGTGCTGAAGCCATAAAGCTAAATAGGTTCGGGTCAGTATTTCCATCCTTGAACTTTCTAATAGCTTCTTTATATCTGTCACTAAAGTCAACAGTATCTGGGAAACCACACTCTTCTTTAAGCATTTTTTAAGAATTCTTGGTTTCCTTGTTCTCTACTTCTTTTATGTCCTTGCTCTGTTTGTGGTTGTTGTTGTGCAGGGTTTTGAACTGTTGGTTGCTGTGCTGGTTGTTGTGTTGGTTGTTGTGCTGGTTGTGGAGGTGGTTGTTGTGCTGGTTGTTGTGCATGCCTGTGTCTGTGTCCATGTGACGATGTAAATGTTCTAGGTAGTCCTGGTGCAGGTGCTTCTCTTGGAGGGTTTGGTGGTATATAAGTTCCACCAGCTGGCACATATGTTCCATCTGCAGCGTAATGTCCTACCTGACTTTTTCGTTTTTAAGAAAGCATTTACTAGGTCTTTTGGTCTGTTGTAACTCTTTTCTTGACTTTTCACAACAGTTGCTCTAACGGCGTCATAGGCACTTTGAACTGCCTGTCTCGTTGCTGCATCTGTTATTTTCGTCATATTTTGTGCTACTTCTTTTAACTCTTTGTCGAAACCTTCAGACTTCAGTTTCTTTCCAGATGAGAAGTCGTTCACTTGTTTCACCTTACTATGAAGAGCTTCGAAAGCGTTCTTAAAGTCAGCATTTGTTAAAGCTTCATTTGAACTGTCTTCATCCGCTTGTATTTTTGTCCTTATTGACCCTATAAGTTGGGCTGCTTTAGCGTTGGCTTGGCATCTAACCAGTCATTATTAGCTTTTATATATTCTGCGCTTTTCATTGCCTTTTGCATGGCTGCGTCGTTATTTTTACTTTCTTGTGCTAAGTTTTCATACTGTACGGTTTGGTTTTGCAACTGTAAAAGTTTTTCTGCCTTTACATTTGCTTCAACTTCTTTTTTATACTCATCGCTATCCATATATGTCTTCAGGGCTTTTTGTTTTATTTCTTCATCTTTCAGTACTTTATATTGAGTAGTATGGTTTTTCAAATTATATAACATCTTGTTCCATTTTTGCTACTTCTGCTGCTTTTTCTGACACTTTTTTCGCATATTCCTCTGTACTTAGTTCTTTCAGTTGTTCTTCTTTCTTCTTTTCTCTACGTTTAACTCATTGAGTTTCTTTGTGTGTCTGTCATATTCTAGTTTCTCTTTTCGTTTTCACTTATTTGTTTCTGTATGTCTATGTTTGACTTTTTGACATCTGTTATTTGATTTTTGAGTGAACTCAAATTCATTTGACTTTGAGGGTTATAAGCTGTTCCGTCTGCAGCTCCACCATAGCCTGCCATTTTCGCTAAAAGTGCGCTCTTAAACCTCCACTCTGTGCACCAATAACTCGGTTTTAAAAGCATAGGGTTGCTTGACATTTGTTGCAACATAGTGGGGTCATTCATAATTTGTTGTTGCAACTGTTGTTGTGGTGTTAGTTTTACTATTGGATGTTTCAATGCTCTCTTCCTCTTACGTATATTCTTACGTAGCTTACGTGGCATTTTAAGTGAAGTTAAAAAGCGGTTTTTGACAGATGTTTATATGACACTTTTTGTTCAGCACAAAAAACTACTCGGTCAAAGTGTTGTCAGTTTTGTAAAATAACCGTCCTATCTCATTCTATAAGGAGAAAAGGCTTCTCAAAGTATACTTCCTTGGAACGCCTGTAACTTTTCCTGTAGCGACGATAGACCCTTACTTGTCCGGACAAAGTTATACTATTTTGAGTGCTCTACAAAAAAGTCAACAGCGACGACTCTCAAAAACCGTTGTGTAAAAAGTTTTACCGTTGGACAAAAAAGTATATATAGAAAACAAAAAAACGTTTATAGTTCATTCAATATTTGAGATGGAACGGTTTTCCAACGGTAACTATTAAATAAAATAAAAAAATAGAGGGGGTCTCCGTTGACGAAAACGGTTCATCTCAAACTCTTATTTGAAAAAAACAGTTTATTTTTGTCTAATGGCATTCGCTAGCGTGTTCGCTCCAAATTCACCTGAAGAAATTGCTTGCAGACTTTCAGCACCCACAGGTTTAGAACCTCAATATCAAACTGCAGCATCTACACATTCTCCAAGCAGAACAGACAATTCAAATTCAAATTTGTCCTGCAATTCACTCAATCCAAAGCCACTTTCACTACCAAAAACAATACCAAACGAGCTCCGTATTACAAAGAACCACAGCAACGCTGAACTACGCAAAATACTACTCAGATTGTCTGAAGAATACTTCAATTCAAAGCCAGAAGAAAGAGTTCCTGCAACTTTTAACAAAGAATATTGTGAACAACTCAACAAAGTTCTTGCAGACTTTACCAAACTACAAAAAGAAACACCTGACCCATTCGAATTAGGTGACACAATTGTCAACTATTTTCCAACAATAACAAAGATAATGGTTGACAGAACTATATGTCAGCTTATTGAAAGTCTTCCACCCAAAGCTGCAAAAAAAGTCGAACAGCTTTGGGTCGAATTCAAATCAAAGAGTTACGGATATCAGGATGACGAAGAAAGAACGTGAGTACGGACAAGAAACAGCAAAATGGCAATGTCTTAGCTCACTCAACCCCAAGTTCAAACCATTATTTTACTCAGACAACAACACAATTCAAGTACGCAAAATTGCTATTCATTTCGTTAACCAAGCAGAAGACATTGAAGAAGAGACTCTATCTCAGTTTATGTTTGCTACTGCAAGTTTTTCAAGGACGAATTTGGAGGACCAATTCTCATGCATGTCTTCAAGCCACATCAGCAACTCTACGTTGAAACTGAAATAACACTCATGCATGGAATGTATCTCAAGTTTGAAAGCCAATTGGAAAACACATACAACATTTGGCTTTCATACATTCAGTTCGATACACCAGATGACTTTGATGTTGAAGAAGAAGAGTCCTCCGAATTCACACCAGAAGACTAACAATTTTTCCGAATAAAAACTTCATTTATACTAAACATCTTCAGGGCTAGAAGGGGCGCAGCCCCTGGAAGCCCCACTACCTTTTTTTTTTTTTTTTTATATGCATATTCTTTTTTTCAATTCTATTCATTTGACGAGATTGAAGAATTACACATTCATAATCGAACATCATGAGTAAAAATCTTTCACATTTATAGGAAGTCTGTTGAATACTAAGTGAGATCATGAATTTAAACTATAGAAGAATGTATCATTTAGGAATATAATATGATATAACTTCACTTAAATGCATATATTTCTATGAAAAGTCCCTTTTCTAAGTGTAATCTGAATAATCCATTAAATTAAGAATATTTTCAAACCAAAATTAGAGTTTTCTTTGAATTGATACTGATATTACAATATTTATCCAAAATACAATTAATATAGCTATATGTTATTTTGATAATTTTTCCAAAAATCATAGAATTTTTGGTTTTTTATATAAAAAATGTAATTTTTTCAAGATAAATTTTTAATTTCAGATTTTTTTGGAAAAGCCTTATGATGATATTCTGCAAGAGCTTTCCTCCTAGATTCATATTTTACCAAAATAATGAGATCAAATCAATAATAAAATATCAGATTTTTATTTCGAAAGAATTTTGCTGATTGAAACAGGTAAAACGATTATATTGCGAATAAATAACGAATATTTAATAAGATAGTAATAATTACTGGTTAGCCTTGATTGTTTCGAGGCAAGCAGCAAGATCTTCACATACAAAATCTGGTTTTTCCTCGAAGGAAAGAGCTTCGCATTCATCACGCTTTGATACGCCTGTAAGAACGAGGATAGATTTAAGGCCAACGTTCTTCGCAAAAGCGATATCAGTGTTCAGGCGGTCACCGATCATCCAGCTGTTCTTGATATCGATGTCCTTGTATCCTGGGATGGCTTCAAATACCTTTGGATCTGGTTTTCCGACAATCTTTGGTTGGCGGCCAGAAGCGACTGAGATTGAGACGGAAAGGGCATGAGCACCTGGGACAAGAACCTTTGGATTGTATGGATAGGAGTTATCTGGATTAGCGGAGATAAGAATTGCATCATTTTCAATAACGAAACGAGTGGCAATAGCGAGATGCCTGTATGTGAATTCTTCTGATGAGCCAACAACAACAGCGCAAACTGATGGATCTAACTCCATTGTGTGGAATTCGATGCCATCAAAATCAGCTGTTGTGATAACTTGGAGGTGTTGGAGTCTAAGCTGACTAACAAAACCTGCTGTACCAATAACAAATATTTTACGATTTGGTTTATCAAGACCTATTTTCTGAAGATAGGTACCAACTGCAGCTGCAGAAGTAATAACATCGGACATTTCAAAGGAATTGTAACCGGATTTCTGGAAGCGCTGATAATATTGCTCGACAGATTTGCTTGCATTGTTTGTAATTACAATTGGACGATAGCCAAGCTTTGTAATTTCATTGATGACTTCTGAAGCACCGGGGATTGGTTCTCCTGCATGCCAAAGAACGCCTTCACCATCGAAACAGACACACTTCTGAGTCATTTTAAACAAAATAAATTTATAAATTCAAAAAGGTGACATGATTGGTCTCAATTTGAGAGAACCCATCGAAAAAATAAAAATATGTCACTTTTTTATTACATTCGCTCTATTCGTTCTCTCAAAAAAACCTTGAGATGCTCATTACAGGACTACCTCTATGTAAGGATGATACCTCTTTGTTATTTTGAAGTTCTATCAAATCATTCATTTCCCCTAAAACAGGCGTCCAGGATATTCGCCTTGATAAACTAGATGTATTATAGGAACACTTTTTGCTTTTGGAGATTGGTTCTATTGAAACTCAATGATATTCGGTTTATTTATATTGATTTGGTGTTTATCTTGTCTACTAACATAACAGTTCTTACACATAAAATATAAATCAATCAGACACCTATATCTAAGGAATATCATTTGATGAATGCCGAATAAAAGTAAAAAATTTCAAATCTAAGCATTTTCCGTAACTGTTTTCATCAAAATTATCGTCGTGTGTTGGCAAACTTGGACCAATCATTTCTGCAGACTATGAAACTAACTTGCATTCCAAGGGAGTAAATTACATGGTATAATTGTGAATCTAAAACATGTGAGATTACTGCTTTATTTGAAGAGTTTATCAAATCGAGCCTAATCCGACTATTGATCCATTTATGAAAATTTATCTAAAAATTTTCGGATTTTCCCTTTAAAAAGTGACAAATTTATCTGTATAGTTTTTTTCCATGTAGTTTTAAGATTTAAGACTATACATCTTTTAAATGATATTCGGATAGACAGAATTGTGCTTCATGTGAGTATATTATCCAAAAAAGAGAATGAATAATTATGCTCAAATTATTTCTTTACAAATTCTGCCACATATATTAGTTCTGTTGGATGTAAGCTAATTCAAGTTCATTTGAAAGATACACAAGTATCCCTCAAAGAATGAACATGGTTGTGGAAAATATGCGATAAGTTCGGGAATATTCAATCTCCTTGATTGTAAATGAATAACATTATTATTGCATTTAAAAATGTAATTGGAAACTATTACATTTACAAACAATTAGATCTCTAATTTGATAGTAGTAGGATAGGAAGGGTTGTGTGACTTTTTTTGTTGCATCTATATATAGACGATGCATTAATGTATTTATATACTAAACACATTAAAAATTAACATTAATTTTAAAATAATTTATTTTTTATCTTTTATAAAAGAAGCTATATATAGATGATGTCAGATATTCCGCGATTAATTAAACAATGTTTAAATCCTGAATGGAATCAATGGAGTCATAATCAAAGACCTCATAAACGAGTAAAAGAAATTAGAAATAATTATTTTCATGAATAAAAGATTCACTACCATAATGAAATAAAAAATAAAAAATAAACTTTAAAAATTCATGTCTTACATTTTTGAATAATTTATTTTTAATTCGTATGAAATGAGCGTCAAAACTAACAACGTTAAAAAATTAGGATTCACAAACGAGGAAATAAAGGATATATTAGATGAGATGTGTTATGAAGTTAGTAAATATTATTTAAGAAATTGTCAAAAATTTGCCGAGTTATTAAATGATTTAGATTATGATGGAAAAATGAATAAAGATGATGTTATAAATTTCTTATATCCCACATCTGAAGAAGAAAAACCTAAAGAACCTGATGTTTTCCCTGAATATTATGAAGAACGAATTAAAGATGATGATGAATACAATGAAATTGAAAAACTGGAAAAAATAAGAGATGAAATAGATGAAAAAATTAAGGAATTAAGAGAAGTTGAAAAATATAATGAAAATGAAGTAGAGGGTTTAATGAATATCCCAGCTTCAGAATCAGCAGTTCAGAAATCTCATGAAGAAAGATATAAAAATTATGTCTCAGAATCAACACAAAATTTATTAGATGGTGAAATAGACGAAACACTTTCAGAAGAAGGTACTAAATTTATTCGTAAACATAAGTTACAATTTATTGATAATGAAGAATACCCCTGTATCCTACTTTCACCCCCTCTCGATTCTGAGAAATTCAAAAAAGCTCTTAAAAATGTGACATATGCAACTAATACGATTAAGAAAGAAGATCATGATATTTACACAAATTATTATTTAAATAAATGCACAGGTGTTGATAAAGTTTTTGATTTATTAGATAAAATATCAAAAGAAACCATTGGAACATATAAAATTTTGTGTGATTGTGGTTTCATTATTGAAGATACTAATAATGTTTCATATGAAAGAACAGCACCGAAGGAAGATGAAGTTGAAAGGTCTATACCATTCGTTATTAAGAATATAAAAGATATGAAAACGTATAAGCATTATATTTATTCATTTATTTCAGAAAAAATGGAAGCAACCCATAAAACATCTTCTCATCATTTTATAGCTATTCATACATTCCTTTTCAAAGTTGTGAAATTAAATAAGACAGGAATTAGATTTAATGTATCAGGGTACGCATTCTTGAGTAAATTAAAATGTATTCGTCACGTCGCGGATGATAAAAATTTATGTGTTCTTAATTCATTTTATGGGCTTTAAAAAATAAACTTTATTTTTATTTATTTTTTAATTTTTTATTCTTACATAAATGAACAAAAACGGAACAGCTAAAATGAATGATAATCAAATTAGAGCAGAAGGTAGAAGGTTATTTAAACGCTTCTATAACATTCCTGATGGTGTTAATCCTAAAACTCGTAGAAGTTATTTAAATGAAGCAATAGATTCATATGAAGGGTTTGACATTTCATCAGAAAGTGAGAGATTAGCGAGAATGTTAAATGTTAATATTGATTTCTATTATTGTGATCCTCAACCAGAGACGTGGACATAAATAAGGTAGACTTTCCATTAGTGGATTCAATAATGATAGATCCAGAATTTGAAACAATAAATATTTTATTAACACAGAGTCCATGTGGAAAACTTCACGCTGACAGAATAACAGACGTTGAAGCACTCACCGGCTATAGAGTTTGTCCATATTGTAAAGAAGAAGTTTATTCTATCCGTGATGATCCAGAAAGGAAAAACCAAAGAAGATTTTTAAAGCATTGTGAGAAATGTAAAGAAAATAATGGAAGATTAATTCAAGACGTTCAGTTGCAAAAGACACAGCAACCATATGCGCCACATATTACGAAACAGAAGATATATCAGTGGTTATTAGCTCATAATTTGCAGGAATATTATCAACCGACAAGATATTATATTACTTTTGACTTCGAAACATTAGAGACTAAAGAAGAATTACAACTTTCTGAGTGTGCAACTTTGAACGCTTACTTAAAACCATTCATGGTATCATCAACGGTTAAATTAAATGATAAAACATATACGAGGAATTTTTGCTTAACTTCGAGTGATTCTTTTATTTCTGATTGGATTGAGTTTTTATTTTCAACCTGTTCATTAGTTGCTAAATCAAATATTGAACAATATGAAGAATTAATGAAGTCGCAAACGGACCAAACGGCGGGGACTTTGTCTCATACATTAAATGAAAAACAGAAGGAAGCATTTAAAGAACTTCTAGATGAGGAATTCAATAAAGTGAATATCATAGGTTTTAATTCGGGAAAGTTTGATTTAAATTTAATTCTTCGTGATTTAAACACTGCAAAATGGAAAATAAAATCAATGCTGGGTTCATCTTCACAATTTAAGCAAATCATTGTAAAGAAAACAAACGTTCCATATGAATTGAGATTTATTGACATCAGAAATTATATAGCGGGTGGGACATTAGACCAATTCACTCAAGATTTCGGAAACAATAAATCACGTGTTAAATCCTTTTTCCCTTATCAATTCATCACATGGGAAAATTACGAAGAAGAATTATATAAAGTGGAACCATTCACTCAAGATTCATTTTATTCAGCATTAACTCAAGAAACTATATCAGATAGTGATTATCAAACATATCTCAATGATGCTAAAAACTTTAAGAATAGATTAGAATATTTTATTCATTATTGCAATAAAGATGTTGAAATTATGATTGACCCAATTGATAAAATTATTGAAGAAACATTTGTTTATAAAATTGACATGCTTCATAATCTTTCTTTATCATCGAATGCTTCAATGATTCGTTACGCTTTAGCATATAAAGACTTTAATCCTAATGAAAAATATCCTGAGGAAGAGATAGAATCAAGTTTTGAATTAACGAAAAAGTATTGGAAATATAAAATTGAATCATATAAGAAACAAGATGAAAAAGCAGAAAGGGATACTAAAAATAATGTTTCAATGGATGATTTTCAATACTATCACGATTTAATCCTTTCATCTAAATGCAAAATGTGTGGTAAAGCGTTTACATATGCAAATAAACCAACATTGGATAGAATCGATAATGAAAAACCACATACCAAAGAAAATTGTCAGTTAATGTGTTGTTATTGCAATGTCGTAAAATCAAATAAAGATGAAGATGTTCAACGTTTAAGAATCAATTTAAGAAATTATGCATTAAAAAATAATTTACCAATGACTTTAGATTCAGTTGAAGCTTATCACATTCTCCGTAATGGAATTACTGGTGGTCTATCAAATGTTCAACATAGAGTAAATCTTAAAGGAATCACGCACATTAATAAACTTTCATATAATCCAGAAACTAAAACTGTATCAAATGAAGACACTTCCAACATCATGACTCATTTCGTTGGTGTTGACTTTAATTCATTATATCCTTCATCATTTTCATCTAATCCTCATGATTTCATTCAATATACTGACCATAAAATGTATATGCCGGGAAGATTGAATGGTGTTATCATTTGTGATACAGCAACAAAGAAAGCAAAAGCACTGGGAATAATTAAGAAGAAAAATACTTTATTCGTGGCTGAAGTAAAGGGTCACATTGATGAAAAATACATTAATGATTACATAAACTTTTTACCGATAATAAGAAACTTAGATATTATCACAGATGAAAAAACAATTGGCAGTTTTATGTATAATTACATGAAATCAAACAATCTACCAGTTGACCAGAAACAGAGAAAATTAACTCAGTTAGCATCAACACACAACCAATATCAACCATTTTCTTCTTATTATCTATGGTATCTAATCGACAGATTTCATTTTATCATTGATGACATTCAATCAATTTTAACATTTACGAAAAACACTTGTTTTAATGAATTTGCGAACAAATTTATGAACGAAAGACAAAAGGCTGAATTAGAAGGAAATAAAGGAAAATGTTTATTTTGCAAGATTTCACTTAATGGATCATATGGTTACGATGCAATGAATACACAAAATTACGCAAAGACTAAAATAATGAATGCACAGAAGGCACGCGTTGCATGTATGTCAAATAAGTTTAAAAACATAAGAGAAATATGTGAAGATACATATCAAGTGATGCTTAAAGATAGATTTTATAGATGTGATACATGTTTACAAGAGGCATTCTTCACTTTAGATAATGCTAAATACTGGTATTTGGTTTTCATTTATGATTTTATGTATAAATGCATGGATGTTAATCGTTTTCATTTCATTGAAGGTGATACTGATTCATCTTATTGGGCAATCGCTGGCGACCCAAATCTTCCTAACACTCAAACATTTCAAGCAATTGTTACCGATAAAAAATTTTATGATAAAAACATTTTCAAATTCGCACCTTTTGATTTCTTCTGTTTTGATGAGAAATTTAAACCTAAATTAAAGAATAAAGCTGAAGAAAAAGCACATGAGAAGAAATTATTGGGTTTAGCAATTGAGAAACAAGGTGATAACATGGTTGCTTTATGTCCTAAGTGTTATACATCATTCAACGGTTCAATTGATGGAAGTGATTTTAAAAAGATTGCACAAAAAATGAAAGGTGTTAGTTTAAGACAAAATAAGCAATTAACACCTAAAAAATATTTGGATATAATAAATGATAAAGTGATATTTGATGGTCAGAATATTAATTTACAACTTAAAAACGGGTCAATGACTCGCTTAACAATCGGTAAGACTGCATTAACAGGAGCACACACTAAGGCTGTATGTTGTGAAAATGGATGTTGTATGCCATTTATTTAATACAATTTAAAATTTTATTCTTAATGAAATGCCACAGAAGAGACAAAAGGAACCGTTAATGATGGTTTTGATACTATGATTCAAAGAGGTGGGCACCCTTAAACATTTATTTTATTTTTATATAAATGGATAACACAGATTTAAAAATTTTAATTGATGATTTAGTATTTAATCAAAATTTTCTTGATTATTATGATTTAAAAGCATATCTCCAAAAATATGATAACAATATAACGGGTGATGATATGGAATATTATTATCCATATTATAAAAACGAAATTTTGAAATATCATAATAAAATAATTTCTGAAATTAAAGACAAAATTAAAAATAATGAATATTCAAAGGGAAAAACTAAATCACAACTTAAACAGTTGAAAGATTTCAAAAATAAAGTATTAACAGAAGAAGATATTGATGAATTATATAATTTATATAATCCTGAGCCACAAAAACCAAAGCCAAAGGAACAAAAACAAAAGGTGCAAAACACCCAGGTCCTTCAGACCATAAATGATGCACAAGCTTTAATTTATGATTCATTAGTTAAACCATATTCAGCCCGACTTTTAAATGAAGATCAACTTTTGGAATTCATCCTTCAACATAAACTCGAAGCGGGAAAGTATATCAAACCTTTATATACAGCATATTTAAAACAAATGAATAGAATACATCCAGAATTAATGAAAGGAAAATCAACAACTAAAACTTCATCATCCAAAATCAAAGCAGATAAAATTAAACCACTTGCAACACCAAAACCTCCAACGACAGTACCGCCTCCTCCTTCAGTTAATCCTTCATCATTCACTTTATTATATCCATTTCAAACATTAAAGAAGCAAAAAGATTTTAAAAAGGATTTCAAGATATTAAATAAACCAATTGACCCGAAAATTCAACCGTTAAAGGAAAAATTTAGTCGCCCTTCATTTGCACCATATCCATATTCATACGAAATCGATCATCTGGAATATTCAAAAGGAAACGTTACTTATTTATTTGCCATTAACATTAACACTAGATATTTATATTGCATTCCAGTGAAAGGGAAAACAGAACAGGAAACAAGAAGAGCTATACAATACTTACTAGATCATGAAAGAGTAGATAATATCAGGGGTGATGGTGATAAAGGATTTCAGGCAACTATGACTCATTATTTCCCACAAATTAATTTTTTCTTTTCATCCTCTCCATATACGTTTCATAATAAAATAGTTGATGCGGTAATGAGAACTCTTAGAGATGCGTTAGGGGTTAACGGTCAGATATACTGGGATGGAAATCATGACTCCATCATACAACAGTTAGTATATTATTATAATAATACATGGCATAGAACTATAAACATGAAACCAGTGGAAATGAAAAATGATATTTCAAAAGAATGGGAATATATTAGAAAGCAAATGGAAAGGTTGAATGATGTTAAACGTGAACAAATTAATTCGGGGCTCATGAATTTTAAACAAGGGGATAAAGTTTTGATTCATCTCGATTATGGAAAAACTGATAAATCAATGACAAAAAGAAGGCGAAGATTTGACACAATAGCTGAATTTGTTAGATATATTAACGGCAATGCATTAGTTGAAGTTGACAATAAATTAATAGAAATTCCGATTTATTTTATTACTCCATTATATTTAAATAATATTTAATTTTTTTATTTCGTAAGAAATGAGTGACAACGAAGCAGCCAAGAGTCCAGACGATGAATATAAAAAGAAACTAAACAGAATTAAATCAAAAATATGCTATTACAAAAAGAAGCCGCAATGCGGTGGGTTGATGCCCATAAAACTAAAGTAATTGAAAACGATAAAGAGAAGAAAGAAATAATCGAAAATTAGAAACTTACCGTTCAATCCTTAAACTGAGTGAAGCAAAAATAAAAGAATTTAATAGAATAAATAAATTGATTGGAAGAGATGAATTTAATAAAGATGAATTTTTAAACTCAATCCAAATTTAATTTTTATTTTTCTTTGACAACATCTCTCTTTCCATCATTACTGCATAACCGCATTTTCTCAGTTTTAGTGGTTTGTTGTTTTTAATTCGTTCTTGCATCATTTTTATCATTTCCTCCTTGTTATGATTCGTGGTAAATTTTGAGCTTGTGGGGTATCCATTTATATAAAAATAAAATTTTGTTATCAGTTATTTTATCGTTAATGGTTTTTAGGTTATTCAATAATTAATTATTTTTGAATAACTGAAGGTGTCACTATGTCACCATGTGTCACTCGGTTAATTAACTTCTCTGAAAAAATGAGACAACATGACATTTTGACAACACAGCAGGATTAAGGGGAAGGCACTTATGAAGCATTTTTGAATAACTGAAGGTGTCACTATGTCACCATGTGTCACTCGGTTAATTAACTTCTCTGAAAAAATGAGACAACATGACATTTTGACAACACAGCAGGATTAAGGGGAAGGCACTTATGAAGCATTTTTGAATAACTGAAGGTGTCACTATGTCACCATGTGTCACTCGGTTAATTAACTTCTCTGAAAAAATGAGACAACATGACATTTTGACAACAGTCCTGGAGGAAGGCAGTTATGAATTATTTTTGAAGAACTGAAGGTGCTACCATGTTACCATGTGCTACCAGGTTAATTAACTTCTCTGAAAAAATGAGACAACATGACATTTTGACAACAGTCCTGGAGGAAGGCAGTTATGAATTATTTTTGAAGAACTGAAGGTGCTACCATGTTACCATGTGCTACCAGGTTAACTAACTTCTCTGAAAAAGTGTGACAACATGACATTTTGACAACAACATAGGAGGAAATATATTTTATCGTAAATGTTTTGTCATGATTTCATCGTAATGAACGTAAACTCTATGTCAAACATGAACGTATATGTTTTGTCATGACTTCATCGTAATGAGTGTAAACTCTATGTCAAACATGAATGTAAACTCTATGTCAAGACTTCTTCGTATATGTTTTGTCAAGACTTCTTCATCGTAATGAGTGTAAATGACCCAAAAATAATGTTTAGGGTAGATGGTTAGATCTAACCTGATATCTACCCTCATTTCTAACCTCATTTCTACCCTCATGAATTTTCATGAATTTTATATATTAATGTTTTCGTTAAGTCACTTTGTGCCGTCAGTCAGTCAGTCAGTCAGTTTAGGAAAGACTTTAGAAAGTTGTTGGAAAATAAGTCCTGGGAAGAGTATTATAAGGCATTTTGTGAAGAATATAGCAACCGCCGGAATTCAGACGGTTGTTTTTTTATACAAAATTCATGGAGGAAATTCTTGAGTTTTGGTTGAAAGAATACGGTCGAGCCACTTTTGGCTCCACCTCAAAACAAGCATTTTATGAGCTTACTAAGGGCGTTATAAATGAATTCAAAGGTATTTACATACATCCTGACCTCGTTCATTTTGTTGCTGAATTCAGCAAAAATAATGTTTAGGGTAGATGGTTAGATCTAACCTGATATCTACCCTCATTTCTAACCTCATGAATTTTCATGAATTTCCTTAAGACAGAAGAAATAAAGTTAGTTTTATTTTTATTTTTTTATTTTGTATAAAAGATATGATTTCAACAATCGGCACAACAACAATTCAAACAACTACGGCACCAAATTCATTAATCATGAATCCTACGTCAATGTTGGTAGAGATGAAAAACTTCATTCCTTCTTCATATACTTTTGAAACAAAAATACAAAGAATAAAGCAAGAACTTTTAACAAGTAATTTAGACTGTAGTGCGAAAGATGAAACAAATGAACAGTATCTTTATGAAATGCAAGATATCATAGACCATTTGCCTAAATTACCGGAAGTTCAGCAACAAAAACTAACTATTCCTGAATTCGATGAAATTGAAGTTAAAGTTACTGATTCAGTAGAAATAAAGAAGTTCATACGTAAAGTAAATTATGAATTCCTTGGTTTTCATTGCAACCATAAAGTTATGAACAAAGATTGCGACATGGTTTATAAAAACATTTCTGACATATATAAATCTGAGGAGTTTAAGACTTACGATAACTTTGTTTCATTAGTTGCTGAATGTGTATGGCAGATAAGAGATAAAGACAGAAGAGGCAAAGTATGGAATGGACAAATAAAACCAACAACTTTTGAGTTAAAGAAAACCATTGACGCCTTAGTTGTTCTAGCAGGTCAAATTTCAATGTATAACGCAAAAATGAATCCGCAATGTTCAAAATGTAAAGCAGCAATGAGGAAATATAACTACTCCGTCAAAGAGATAGAAAGAATGAGAAACGATTACGCAGACTTAAAGAAAGAAGCAGAAAAGCCAGCAGAAGATAAAATGGACATGTTGACATTTCTTAATAAAAACTATCCCACAGCTGATGATTTCCTTTTATCTGATGTCAAGAAGAAGTATAAAGAAACTTTCGGCATTGTTAAAATTTTTGATATATTAACTGAAGAAATAGAAGCTACGAAAATATTTAAAATTTCACGAATTCATAACGTATATCACGTTAAACGTTTGTAAATCTTGAGGGTAGAAATGAGGGTAGATATCAGGTTAGATCTAACCATCTACCCTAAACATTATTTTTGTCTGAAAAATGACCAAATTTCATGAATTTCATTAGTTAGAAAAATAACGCTAATTTTTTCTAAGAAAATTTTTTTTTTGTATGTAAAGACAGTAATGTCAAACATTGAGTTTGAAACAGTTAGAAAGATTGACAATGACACCAAAGTGGTTAGAATAGGTGATTTAAACGTAAGATACTCAAAGAAATACAACAAATATTCTTTGTCAGACATTATAACACCATCTGGAAAGAAAACAAAGGACTGGGTTAGAATTGCTTCTACTCAGAAAATTTTGACAAGAAATCCTGAGCTTATGATATCAGTAGCATTTCATGGAACAAGAGCATATCTTATAGACAAAAGTCTTATACCAATAGTTTTGTTATGGTTAGACCCAGTTGTTGGATATAACTTCATAACTTATGGTTCATTCGACTCAGAACGTTGCAGTGAAGGCTTACTTTACATCGTTCAGAAACCGAAGGACTTCAATACAAAGAGATATAAGATAGGAAGAACATATAATATAACTCAAAGATATGACAGTACAGTCAATAGAGTCAAGGTTGTGTTCGTTAATGATATGAGAGCTGCTGAAACAGAACTGCTTGAAGTTTTTGAGAAAATGTATGGTGCTCCCATGAAAGGTAAAGAAACGTTTGAAGTAGATGAGATAGATAAAGCTATAAAATTATTTGACGAAGTTGCTGAAAAATACATGTAAAGCGTTTATTTTTGGTCTTTTGTGAAAGTCAGAAAAAATAAAGTTAGTTTTAAAATTATTTTTATTTTGTATGAAATGACAGTAATGTCAACATCAGAGAACACAACAACTGCTATCGTTCATGAAGCCATAAATGAAGAATACGAGTACATACAATATAACAAACAACTTCACCTCATTCGTTCGGTCAAAGAGGACATGTACCAAATGCAAAGTATAATGAATGCTCTTCGTTCTACAAAGCAAGCATATCATTGGTTTGAAAACCAACAGACAAAAGAAATTTTAGAAGAATTTCCTCATATGATTGCTTCCCTCGGAAAACCGAGAGAAGAGATTCCGTATGAAAATCGCAAGAGGGTAGAAATGAGGTTAGATCTACCCTTCTACCCTAAAATATATTTTGGGTCATTTACACTCATTACGATGAAATCATGACAAAACGTCTACCCTGTCAAAATTGAAGTTGGAGACAGAAGATACGTAGTTTTAAGGGTCAATGGTAAATTTAAGGGTCAATTTGATTACTTCAAGAATTTGATGAATTCATGCACAAAGGAATTTTATGATAATTTACTGACGTATTTTATGCAATATGACCTTTCATCATTTAATGTACGAATCATTCCGATGACTGAAGCCAAACAAGATTTAATCGAGTTATCAACAAATCCTTTAGATGTATGGATAAATACACATTATGATGAATTGTGTGCAGGTATGACGTGTGAAAATGCTCTATTCTGCAAACCATCAGACATGAAAGACAAGAATTTTCAAATGAGCATTAAGGATAAATGTGATAGGAAACATAGAAGAATAGACGGTAAACAAACATGGTGTTATGTTTTGAAAGAAGAAATGAAAGGATTATATAAACAGGTTGAACCAAACGATAATGAGGATTCATTTACTGACGATGAAATACCTGTAAATGATGCTTTATAAAGTATGATTTGAATTTATTTTTGCATTAATCCTCCTGGGTTGTTGTCAAAATGTCATGTTGTCTCATTTTTTCAGAGAAGTTAATTAACCGAGTGACACATGGTGACGTAGTGACACCTTCAGTTCTTCAAAAATAATTAATTATTGAATAACCTGAAACCATTAACGTAAACATTAACGATAAAATTTATTTCTGCAGTTCATCCATTACTTCATTACCTAATTAATTACAGACATAAAATATATTTAGTTCATTCAATGAACGCGGTACCATGCGAATACAGTCACAAATGGTGGCATGTAATCTTTACCCGAGCCTGTTGGATTTGTTGTGAAAGTGTGTGAATGATTTCCTGCGGTTCCACAGAAAATACCTGTGCTTGAATCTACTGGGTCAGTTGTGATATCATATCTATTCATTCCCCATCTATCCGAACCCGCTGCAAGATTTATATAACCTCTTTTTGTTATTGAATGTGAATGATTTCCTGTTGTGTTTGTCGTTCCTGTATGAGTGTGCGGTGGAAGGTTTGCTTCTTTAATTTTCTTCGAACCCCCTGTTTGCTTTGAATATCTAGCACAGTATAAGAATTTATCTACAATCTGCTTCCACATACCAAAACCTAAAACTGTTTCTGGATTTGTTGAGTTCATTGACGTATAAATAGAGCCTATAGGATATAATGTTTGAAGTATTTCATTTTTCATGCTTGTAATCACATCATTTACTTCCGACTTCTTTGCATAATTTTCATCAACATAAGTTTTATCTGCTTTAAGGTCTAAACATCCTGAAACCCATTCTGTATCAGCTTTAACTTTAAAAGTCTCCAATGTCCATTCATGATACCATTCAACCTTTTCTTTAATTTCATTATCTTTTTCATCAACATAAACCAAATTTGCCTTCTTATTTAATTCAGTATTAACGTATTCCTTATCCACCTTCTTCATTATGTCATTTAGGAAACCTTCTATGAATTCCTCATTTAAATTAAATCTTCCAATCTTCAAAACTTTAGGAAATGCATTTAATGCGTAATATCTCTGTTCTTCTGGTGGAATTGATGTTATATCATCCGTTATACCTTTAATTTTAGAATTCATAAATAAAATTTCTTTTATATTTGATATCACTGCACCACCTTTGCAAACGAATTCGAAATGTTCATTTTTCAATACTATCTCCAAATCTCCATATTTCAACCTTTGCGTTTGTTCTGCCATCTTTGAATTATATGCATATATGGCGTATGTAATGGTCTGAGGGACCTGGGTGCTTTGTGCCTTAAGTTGCTGTGGTTGCTGTTGTTTAATCATTTATTATGATTTAAAAATAAATATTTAATCTGTTATCTCATCACCTATTTTTTCTATTTGAAATTGCCATAATATTTCATTCATGAATTCTAAATCACAATCAAATAGGTCAGTTATTCTAAATTTAATATTTGATAAATCTTTTGAATGAAGAATAAATGAATTCCCGGATAATTGAAACGGATATGATAAAGAAAATGTGTTTAAGTTGATGGATAAAATGTTTGTATTGATGGGTAAGAGTTAGGGTCTAATGTTTGATGTGAAAATCTCATTGGGGTATTAACTTTATCACATTTGATTAAAATGAAATTGGAACCAGTGTCAGAATACAAACATCCCCAACATCTTTTTCAAAATTTAATATCCCCAACAATGAACGAAGATGAGGAGTACAAAATTTAATTTTCAGCGGAAATCTAATAAGGTTATTTATTTCATCAAGTTCAAAAAGTTTATCAGGTTTTGATTTAAAATTTTCTTCATACCATACGATAAATGATTCATTTAAATAACTTAAAATCATGTTAATATCCCATTTCGCTATCACATTATTTATATACATATCATACGTTTTTTCATTGTCATCTTTAATAAATGATATATAATCTGAAGGGTCTAAAAGAATGGGATTAAATTTACCACTCACAGAAACGAGAGTAACATTATAAATTCCGCTAACTGTTAAATTTAATTCACAGTTATTATTCGAAATAATATTGATAATTGACATTTTTATTACGATTAAAAATATGGTAAAGCGTTATTTTCCAGTGATAAATAAAACTAGAATAAGATTACCTCAAGAATTCATAAATTCAACGAATAAGAAATTCATTCATGTTATAAATTTTAGTGTTTTCAGAAAATATGAGTCAATGTCATATTCATCACAGGTTATATTTCACTTCATTCAAATTTAGTTCAATCAAACCCATATAATGACCATTTCATAAGATTTTCAGATGGTATTAAAAATGTAATTGATAGATTAAAATATGAACAGATTGACAATATCGAATTTTTGGAATTTTGGTTTAAATATCCGATGGAAAAAAATTGAAGTTAAAGATAAAGCTGATACTATAACAAAAACAATTACAATGACCGATCCAGATAGTGGGGAACAAAAAGAAATAAAACAAACGATAGAAACTGGTGAAAGGTCAATTATTATTGATTATGATTCAAAGGATTATTATTCAATAATGTTAATGCTTGAATATTAAATAGCCTTAACAAAGAATTTTTCAAGTGATATTTTATATTCATCAACTATTTTATTATAAATATCATTATATGTTAAATGAAGTTCAGTTGTTGTTCCGTTCTTTGATATCTTAATTGTGCTAATATCCTTTATAGGATTTATTTTTGCAACTGTTCCGCAGCATGAAACCTCATCATCTATGAAAAATTGAATCTTAACGTCTGAATCTTGAACATCACAAAGAATGGCGATAATGTGAATTAATGATTCATAAGGTAAAATAATTAAACCGGATTGATCAATTAAATTTATTATTGAATCATAATTATTAATTATTATATCACGGTAAATTTTCATTAATTCAGAATTAATGTCTATTTTATATGGGTTCTCGATGTTTGATGAAAGAGGTGGGGGGTATGTTGGATAAGTGGGAATTTCAACAGGTTCTTTACCGGGTTCAGATAAAATGATTGGGTCTCCATTCTCATGGTTTTCTTCATTCTCCTCATTCTTCGGTAAGTCACGAGTTAATAAATTTGGTTGAGTTGCTGACCTTGTTAATTCGGGGCTAACATTAACTTTAACATTTTGAATAATTCGTGATTTATCATCATTTACGTTATAACCAACCGTAATCTCTGTTGCGTTAGTGTTCTTTTGACTAGTGAAACGTCTTCTCATTTATAATCGAATAAAAAAAATATATTTAAACTTTTATTTTGCTGGAACTTTTGAATCTATTATTCCCTGTATTTGTTCATGAAGTTGATTTTTAGCATTTTCATCGAAATTAATAGACCGAATATATTCATTAATTGCATTCTTATAATCATCTGATTTCTCAAATTTTCTTTTATCTGATTCCTTAAATAAATCATAAGTTAAACCACGTTGCTGATATAATGGTTTCTTAATTAAATCTTTGAATGCTTGAGATAAAGCACCTGATGCAATTCTTGCTACTATAATTGGTTGGAATTGCTGTTTAAGTTCATCTTTAACATTTGCGAAAACTGGATCGAATAAAGCAACTTTAAAGAATTTCTTAGCTGAAATTTCAGGTCTAATATTTGTATATTGACCATCAAACTGGTTAGAATATCGTGGTAATCCATCCGGTCCCTCTTCAATAGCATTTAATTCTTCATTGAAATAAGAATATGGATTACGACGGTATGAATTAATTGGACCATTTTCACCTTCTCCAATGTATTGTTTAAAAGCTTTTCCATTTTCATCAAATTGCATAGGATAACGTTCATTATATGCTTTACGTTTAGGATAATCAGTTATAGTTAATTTATAACCATTTATGACTTTAATATTACCTTGACCATCAGTAATGAAAACTTCATTTATACCATCAGGTTTTCCATTTGGACCCGTAGTGTCTGCTTCGTGTGCTTCCCAATTTGGACCTTGACGTTTGGCATATGCTTGAGCTTTCTGGTAATGTTAAAACGTTTCTCATTTGTTTAACATCTTTTTGAAGACCAGCAACAATATGAACTAATTCTTTCATTCCATCAGGAACTTTCATAGTTCTATTATATGCACCCTTTTTGTTTGTTCCTTGTTTTAATGGAACCTGTAGAAGATTTGCCATTTCTGTCATGTTTAATTATAAATAAAAAATAAAAATTAATTATAAAAAGTTAATCAAATTTAACACTTCCTTTATTTAAATCAACTATTATTTTTCCATGTTCACCTAATTGCTGATATTGTGTGTAAAGTTCATTAATGCTCATTGGTAAATTCACTTGATAAAGCATAACGTTCAACTGTTGACGACTAAACCCACTGAAAATGAAAAGTGTTGATAGATTTGATTTAATGTTTGTGCTTAATGCTTTGAAATATTGAACAGCCATAAAGAATGAACACTGAATGTGTCGACATTGAGTTAATAACTGATTAAAATATGATTTCTCATTTGTTATTAGTTTTGATTTCACTGCATCATCTAGAAAAATGAGTGAATGCAAAAATTCTCTATCAAAATTTGAAATAGAAAGTGTTTCAAATAATTCATCCCTTTGTTTATCAATAATTTTATCCTCTAATCCTTGCTTCTTGATTGTATTATATAATTCTTTATACATTAAAAAGTTTTTTAAATAATCTTCTGCTTCTTCTTGTGATAAATAAATAATTGGAATTTTGATTAAATGCTTTAAAGATTCAAATGTATCATCTGAAGGTGAACCTGAACGGTTGATATAAATTAACACATGTGAATAGGGGGAAGTGTTAACAATAATGATAATTTGTTTTAATATCGTTAATGTTTTACCTTTATTTTGTTTACCAATTGCTGCAGTGATTGAATTTAAGTAACATTCAGAATATGGAATTTTCATTAATTTTTCCTTAGATAGAGCATTTCTATTATCACTCAATGCTTCATTAATCATATCATCTACGTATGTATTATATACTCCTGCTAATTCTTCATAAGGGGTGGATGAATTTAAATCCATTTAATCAAAAATAAATTTATAATTTTAAACATTTCTATTCATCAATATTTCATCATATGAACTTCTATACTGTGGTGGTGTACCTGTTGGATGATATTTCAAACCTTCATCCGGTGTCCATGTCCAATACGTAGTCCTAGTAAACCAAACCTGAGGAGGATTTGTCACCTTTGAACAGTAAGTGTCATTTTCACCCTGAATGATTGGATAAGCTTTCACTTGTACTGTAACTTGTGAATTGAAAGTTTCTAATCCATCAAAGAATATACCCGCTCCATCACGTTGAACTGGAATAGTGCATAAGAATGAAGTTTGGTCTTTCCATGTTCTAGCTAATGGCGTGCCATTATCATCATTCAGTGGTCTAGTTAATGAGTCCTCGTATTCTTCCGTGCATTCATTCACTCCATCTAAATCAGAAGCTTGAAGCATACGTGTAAAGAATATATCACCCACTGTTGTCATCGCTTGATCGGGGAAGTTTCTGGAATCTATAGTGACCTGAAGACCTCGAAGCATTGGATTTTCTAAAACTGTTCTTTGCATTGCATTCTTCGGAAATGTTAACACAACATCTGTAACATTATGAAGAGCGTATGAGAAATCTGAGCTGATACCTTCAGGAGTGATGCAACCTCCATTTAGTGAACGAACGTCAATATGTTGAGCTGGAATCATGAATGGATCTTCCTTACTGAATAAACGTGGTATTGCTTTAACTGATTCTTCAATTAAACCGTATCCTGGTGTAATGCACTTATCTATCATAAAACCATATGAAATATCAATTTTTGCTTTACGCCTAATTTTTGACGACAATTAGCAAAAAATGTTAAATGTTAACACTCAGTCCATTTGAATATGAAAAATAAAATTGACTTTGATTAAATGTTTTTATTTATCATGCAATTCTTCTTGCGACCAAAGATTTGAATAAAAGTTCAAAAAATAAGATAGCTTAAAAAATAATATACGGTAGTGTTTACTAATAGATGAATAGTATATAAATTCTATTAAAATGGATTTGATCCAAAAAAATATAAAACCAAAAATAATTGTTATCATTTAAATGAAGAAGTAATTTAAAACGATTTTATTTATGATCAAATTTTATATATTTTTTTGGATCAAATCCATTTTAATAGAATTTATATACTATTCATCTATTAGTAAACACTACCGTATATTATTTTTTAAGCTATCTTATTTTTTGAACTTTTATTCAAATCTTTGGTCGCAAGAAGAATTGCATGATAAATAAAAACATTTAATCAAAGTCAATTTTATTTTTCATATTCAAATGGACTGAGTGTTAACATTTAACATTTTTTGCTAATTGTCGTCAAAAATTAGGCGTAAAGCAAAAATTGATATTTCATATGGTTTTATGATAGATAAGCATTATATTCCCACTCATTATATTCGTAAATTTTGAGGTTTATCCTTCGCTTTTAAGATCATTGAATTTGATTTTTATATAAAATAGTTATATATTAGAAAATAATATGAGTTTATGTGATATTATTTTTCAGAAGATTTCATTCTATATGCCTATGAAAAGTACTCTCAAAACTAACTTTTTCCTAATTATAATTAAATCTAGAATATTGTATTATGCTTAGTATTATTTCATTTTTCTCATTCAATTTAGAATTTACAAATGTCAAAAAATTGAGAGCTGTCACTTTTGACGAATTTCTGTTTATTACAAAATCTTTAATCAGAATGCATCTCTTATGAAATAAGATGAATTTAGTTATTTAGACATTTTAACAGTATTACATAAATTGAATGATTGTTTCTCAATTACAAAAATTGAATCATTGTTCTCAATTCGTAAAATTTGAATGCATTCAATTCTTTTTAATTTGAAGTCGTATAACTCTAATTTGTTTCAAATCTTAGTATTCAGTATTTTCATCAAAAATGAGAAGATTTTTATGATAGTCAATTTTATTATTTATTTGAATTCATAATCAAAGAGATATAATACTTTATTAATACATAGCAAATGTTTCGATTCTTGAAAAAATTTCTTTATATATAGTCATACTATTTATTCGTTATCAACAACCGTATACACTCAAAATTTCAAGAGCTCATAATTTATAATTTTTTTTTTAAAAAATGAGATTTTAAAATTACAAAAAATCTCGATAAATCTTAAAAGTTTGTTCACAATTTTTGACAGATAGTTTTTCTGGGAAAATACGATAAATCATTTCTTTCGATATGCTTCCATTCTTACTATCATTGAGAGGTTACGACCTCAATGTTTCTAGGTACTTTGATGAAATAGGATGCACTGAAGAGAATACATTTCATGTTTCAATGCCATACAGATATATTACTCCAATGGACACTGATTATCATACACTTAAAGCCGGGGAGTTCGTATGCATATATGGATCATTCTTAATAGCAGCTAATATATCCTTTACAGCTGATGTTTACACTGCTTACACTGATGAGGAAACTAGAAGAGACAACTACACAATTACTAAAAATGTTTCAAATCCACTTGCAGTATTGCCTAAACCAATATTTAATAAATATCATGGCCTTGATGCAAAGCTATATCCAACTTGGTCAGATTATTTCTTTGCAGTAACAAAACCCACTTTTCTTGGCGAATCCCTTGCAGTTGCTAGATGCTCTGAAGCCTGCAGAATTCAAACAATAGGTGTTATGCCATCATTCAGATTTGATGCTGATTTTTACTATGATAAAATACATTACAAATACGATGTTGGAATTAAGAGTATCTTTTCAACAAAGATAAAAGATTCAGCATATCTTTATGATGAAAACAAGTTAGGAAAATATCACAATACATCCATAATTGTATATTTAACATCTTATGCTAATCAAAAATTGAACTATTCATATAAGAAAGATAATGGAGGAGATGCATTTAGCTTTGGGTCTACTATTTCAAAGAGTATTGCTGCAGAATCTAGACTAAATAAAAAATATCCAAACGCCGACATGAAAAATCTCTCTGATGAATATCGCCTTGATAATCTCTGTTTTCTCACTAACAATGGAACGGAAGGATATCTAACAACCGATGATTATGACATGTTTATCCCAATAATAGATTCATGTTTGTTCCAAACATATAATGATTATCTAAATTATTCTTATGGAGATTATAAAATAGGATCGACAGTATCTTGGGACCAGAAAAATTATTCATTTAAACCTGAAACTAATGACAGATCTTTTCTTTTCCCCGAATTTACAGCAACTCTTTCAACTGAAGGTGGAGTTTTCACACTCAAAAATATTAATCAAACATTTCCAACTGAAAAATGGCCAATATGGTATTACATTGTAATTGGCGTCGGCTGTTTGGTTTTTGTCATAATAGTTATCGTAACAATTGTGGCGATATGCAAATGCGCAAAGCGTAAAAAGGATAAAAGCAGCGACGCATCTGCTAAAGTATAAAACTTAATTTCATTTCAAGAAAACTTTTTTAGAGTATTTTTTTTAAAGTCATATATCTGTAGATAATAGATAAATAAAGAAACCTTCATCTTTATTTTTTCATCATGAGATACAGATTATTGTTGCGATAAATACCAGGAAAACGTTGAAATTCAAGGAAAATTTAACACCAAAGTTCATAAGGATTTAAATTGCACGAAAAATAATTCAAATATCAACTTCTAAAATTATATTGATATGTTTTGTAGAAAAAGGAAATCACCCCCTACGAAATGTCATTTTCAACAATTGTTGTTCTATGTTAAAACTTCTCCTTGTAAATTAATAGAAGTGCAACGACTCTCTATTTTATAATATAGATATTGATATTTGAATACCAGATATATGATCTATCCTATTATTTGTTATTCACTAACAAACTTAAATATGAAAACTTTTATAGTTCTATCAATAACATTCATTAAGGCATATTTAATGATACTTCACAGTTGACAGAAATTTGATTTAAAGTCAGATGGGCGTAAGTACACCTTTATGCATGAAAAATTAGAAATTTATAATTTTTCTTATTAAATGAGTCAGTATAATTGACACAAATCCTTAGACTGCCTAAAAACAAATTGGCATTCTATACAAAGCAGAATACAAATATTCTAATTTCATTTCTTTAAAATTGTTAATCCTATCCATAAAATAATCATTAAATGTAATCCACTCAGGTTGTAAAACATTAACATAATGTTTTAATTATACTATATCACTTATTAAATTGTATATAAATATTTTTTAAATCTAATAATAGAAAACTATCCAAATCATATTAGATTCAATTTGTTTATTTCATTGAATATTGCTATTGACGAGAAATCCGATGATATTTTTTATCCTTAAAATATAGTTTTAAAAAAGGAAGTAACTCTTAATTAAAAATATACAAAAACAATTTTACATAGAGGAAATCCTCTTTGAAGAAGCCATTCTCTTAAGTTTTGAATTCAAGACCAAAGATGCCGAAGTTTTCGCAGAAGCAGCTTGGCGGATGAATTTCTTTCTACTCGAGTTTTTTATTTGAGATCTGATCGTTTTCGCAACGACTTCAGCTGAAGGTCGCAGAGATGGATCAACCTGTAAACACCTCTGTATTATTTGCTTAATAAACACGTCGCTGATATGGGAATCATCGTAGATAGAATTCATGATTAAGTGTATCATGGTTTGGCGATCGTTGTCAGGAAAAGGGTGTTTCCCGGTAAAAACATAAAATATGGTAACACCCATTGCCCATATATCTGCAGCAAATGCATCATATGGCTGACAGCTTATTACTTCCGGCGCTGCGTACAATAAGGTTCCGTTATATGTCGTGCAGTTTTGTTCAGGAGATGTTTTCTTGGACAATCCAAAATCACATATTTTAATTCGTCCGTATTTGTCGAGTAAAAAGTTTGAAGGTTTTATATCTCCATGAGCAATGCAATATTTATGGCAGCTGTAAACAGCTTCAGAAATTCCAAGTGCTATATCGTATTGTTTATCAAGATTGATCTTTGAAGAATGAACTATTGATCTTTCAATATTTAAGGGGCAGTATTCCATTAACAGGTAGACAAACTGTTTAAATCGATAGTACTTATAAAGCGGAACAATATTATTGCTTCGTATTTCAATCATGCACTTAACTTCGTTTTCATTGAAATCTGTTTCTAAAACTCGTTTTAATGCGAAGTTTTGTGAGTATTGATGGTCATAAACTTGATATATCAGACCATATGTCCCACGGCCAATGGTACTAACATAATCAAATCCGTTCTCAAGGAAAAATTCAGCATCGCATAACTCCATTATCTTTTCGAAAAAATTTCTAATAAAAGTGACGTACCACTTTTAAATGATATACGTTGCATATCATTGAAAAAATATATCGAGTATTGAAATATATAATCAAGGATTCTACAAAAGTTATTAAAAAATGATTAACTATGTTATTTATGAATGACATCAACAATCAGTATAAAATTTTCAGAGCATAAAAATTAATGAAATAAGAAAAACTTATAGCGCTATAAATTAATTACTTATATACATGAATATATTTCTTCCTAATTCCTCAGGCTCATTAAACTGATTATCTGTGAAACAACTTATTTTTAGAAATTCTAATAGGAGGTCATTAGAGATAAACAATAAATGAAGATTTATCGTCTGTCGTTTTTATCGAGAAACAATGTTTCTTTACAAAATTTAAAATGAAGGAACCTAATTTGATTCTGCTTGCTCATCATGTTATTAGCTAAAACTTCTTTTTTTCAAAGAGTAATGCGAGGTACGGATAATCAAATTTTACACTATTGCTAGGATTGAACAGTTTCTTATGAAATCTGTTAAAGAAAACAATTGGGTGTATAAATACAAAATATACATCCGATTGACCGACTCCACGCCTTTATTTTCAAATTCTTACCATTATACTTGAAGAACTCTTTATAAATATGAAGCAAATTTATATACTTCCAATTCTAAGCACAATATCTAGTAAGAATCTAATTAATATTAACTTTGTGCCATATATTTTTTATTTCGATCGTATTTTTCTCAAACCTTTAATGTTCTATTCAATATTTTAATAATATAACGACATTTATAAACATTGCAACTATCTATTATGTCAGATATCAGTATTTTTGTGATAATTTTTTCAAAATTATTTTTCATGATACAGTATCTTTTCTACTGTGATATTGATCAATAAAAAGGCTAATTATATGTGGATGTTGATTATTATGTAGTGTGTGAAGGAATTTAAATGAGTACAATAATTTTTATTTAATAACAAAATAAAATAGTAACAAAGAAATGCTTCTAACGAAAAATAATAAATAAAACGACGATACGAGATAATTTGGAAGGATTTCAATCCAACATATTCATCTCTCTTCGCTTTTCTTCCTCTTTTTTATTAACTTGCTTAATAGCGTCAAGATCTACCTCATCTGGCGGGGGAGGAACATATACCTTTGGCTTCGGACCGGCAAGTTTTTTGATGGCCCATTTTTGGCCCAATTGAGCACATTTTTGAAGCTGTTCCTGAGCAATCTTCTGAGAAAACTCCTTGCTTTCATCGTATTTGACCTTGTATTTCTCTTCTTTAACTTGGTTGTCACAAGTTTGTGCCAATAGAACTGATGCATTATATTTTCCAAGTTTGGATTTGTGATTATTGAGGAGTTCTTTCTTAAGTAATGGAATTCCGGTTGAAAGGCCATGATTTGTTTGAACCTTAAATGGTTTCGGATTGTATCTCTGCGAAAGGCTTGTTTTAGTTGGTCTAGTGAGTATGAGGGGCTCGTCAACTAAATTCCAGCCTTGAGGTCTGTAATGGTAATCTTGAAATTCTGGCAATTTTGACTGGTGATGAAGACTTGGGAGATCAAAGAACTTTGTTTCTTCAGGTTGGGAATTCTGAACAAGGAGTCTTGCTTCTTGCGGATTGAGTGGTGTCTTTTGAATATTTGGCGGTTGATGATAAACACCGTAAATTTTCTTTTCAAATAAAGCAACTTCATCAACAGCTTCTTGAGCTTCTATTTGCTTCTGATATGCCTTATGTTTCTCTGTCAACTCTTCGAATTGACTCTCTTGAATCCACGTGTCACTTATTCTTTGTATTGAAAAAGGACCATGTGTACTTGATAAGGACGAACGATTGCGTCTGCCATTGTATAGAAGGGAGTCTTGGGAATGGGCAGTGATCGTTCTCATTTTCATTTCTCAAATTTTGTAAGAGATTTTTTTTGTGGACATAGCGCAATAACGAACAATTTTTGACACTCAAGTAAAAAAACATCATTTCTCAATCAATAAATACACTCTGAAATGAGATCGATAGAATGAAATCGATGTAATCGTGTATTCAATCAGGAAATGATTAGAAAATCAAGAATTTTTTATCTTCTTATTATGCAAAACACTGAATTATCCTTCTAGGGTTAATGAAGTCTCTTATGTACAGTATACATCTCTAAATATTAGATTCTTTTCTATTAAACAAATCATCTGGAGAAATTCTTCTTTATATTTTGTGATTTATTCATTACGATATGCCTATTTTTAAAAGTTAGGATGAGTAATATTGATTTAGCGATATTACTACTCGGCTTCTAGAAATTATTGTCAATACTGGATGTTTTATTATTTAAGAGCCCATTTCTTTAAAAAATTAAATGGATAGTAGATAATAAGTTAAAAGACATGTTTACTGCTGCTCATTCTCTGGAACAAAAACAATAGAGATTGAATTTACACAATGTCTTGTGTTTTTAGCTGTAAAACCTTCGCCTTCGAATACGTGACCAAGATGGCCGCCGCATTTAGCGCAAGTAATTTCAACACGGTGACCATCAGCATCAATAAAGCGAATTACAGCATCTTTAGCATTATCATCGAATGCTGGCCATCCACATCCAGATTCGAATTTATCTTTTGAATAATATAGAGTAGCTCCACACTTGCGGCAAATATATTTTCCTTGACCCTTGAAGTTGTAGTATTTGTTTGTGAATGGTCTCTCTGTGCCTTTGCGTTCAATAACATAAGCTTCTTCTGGTGTTAATGGATCCATTTTTGGTAAAAACTTGAGAGGGTCTAAGATTTTGACACTTTTAGATATTGAGTGATTGAAAAGTGACTGAAGCATTGATAAAAAATGACACGTTTCAGAAGTGACCCATCATGAATTCAGAGAATTCTAGACATTCATCACAAAAGAGGAACCAAGTACACTAAGGGTTTCGTTTTGCGAAAAAAACGTACAATACGCAATTTCGCTAAAAAAACATTTAGCTAGCAATTTCGACCTTTGACTCCACTCAAGACGTCACTTTTTTAATTTTGCGGTATCATATTTTTGGAAAATCTTTATGAATATTATATAAAAAGTCTCTTTAATATCTATATTTCATATTTTTATCGATTTTTAAAGTTTTTGCGAAAAGTATTCAATTATTTTTGCTATTTGGTCGGGTAAATGTCAGATTTGCGATATTTTCTGATATGATATTCAGATTCTACGTTGATAATAATGCTTATAGAACCCTCTTGCTATTGTGTCAAAATTGCGAAACCGATAGCAAAAATATCTCGCAATATCAAAATTGAGATATTGAGTGAATTATGCATTATAGAGATTAAAAATCTGATTTGTGAAAACATCTCATCAGTTTCTAGCTAATTCAAAAATCTTTACTATCTTATTCGATTAAAATGAAAAGGGAATAGTTTCATTATGCTTTAAATGACAGCCTTATAATATAATCATAGTTTTCGCTCAATATGCAGCATTTTTTTTTCGAAATCTATGGTCAATATCCTAAATACTGATTGCTTTGCATTCATATCTCTTACATTTTCTATACCCACATCACTATTCATTGCTATTCCTATCTTTTTCATTTTTGTTTGTTTCTCATAATTTCTCAAAAAACATGATAACTTGATATTTGTAAATATCATACTTTATAACGTAAATAAGAACTTGACCTATTAAGAAAAGCAGTAATGAAAAGAAAATCTGAAATTCATAAAAATTACAAGTTTCTGATGACAATTAGCTTAATTAAACCAGGTATAAGATTATATAATTGTATTTTCTATCCAATTATCCATATAATATCTTATCCAGAAAAAATAACTTGATCAATACCAAATGATTTTTTAACTAGTAAATAAAGTATTTTCTTTACACACACATTGTATATCATAGTTTTTTTTTTGGTTTCGCAAAACATCCAAAAACAAATATGCTATAAAAGTGACAATTTTAGCAAAACGAAACCCTTAAGGGTGCCCTATAACGATAATGTAAACATCACAAAATTAACCTTATTAGAACTCGAATGAATGGATTATCCAGATTCTAGTTCTCAATATAATAGCCTTAAAAGTGCTTTTCTGAGGGTGGTCTATCGTCTATAGGGCACCCTTAAGTACACATTTAATTTCATTTAAATTGAAATCAAAAATCGATTTTTTTTTCAAAATCAAATTATTTGTTTCTCGGTTTATGGGAAATAGGAGGTGAACTGAAGAAAATTGTTATTGATAGATTGATGACTAGGTAAGGAAATATATATATGCTGTGATTAGCTGGCTTTGATACCTAATCGCTTCATCGGAAAGTAGAATTGCAATTCTATATAAAATAAAATGAACATAATTATGTTCTATGCTCCAAAGGCAGATATCTTGAAAAACATCAAAAAGATCTTAAAAATGTTATTTCAAAAATAATCAAAGATCAGAATTTGTTTCAATTATGGTTGAATATCATTCTAGAAACAGTAATAATAATCGTTTGCATTTTGTGAGGCAGTGGGACAAATCACAAACATCATTGTTTTCGAAATAAAATTAATTTGACACCTATCAACACATAAATGTGAATTTCGATCTAAAGTGCAGGATATTCTTGTTTTTAAAATTAAAATATAAAAAATCAAAAAATTTACATCTTCTCAAAATAATAAAATCTATTATCAATTTATTGAGAGTAAAGATAAATGAGAAATATGGTTATTATATGTAGTATATATAGAAAATCAAAATATGAAAACAGGGCGGATAAGCGATTAATTTTAATTTTCGAGTATTTTGAATGTTTGTCTGAATGTAACCCCATATGATAAGATAGGTAACGATCATTAGCATTGAAAATTTTCAATTTATATTTATGTAATTTACATTCATATTGGAAATTTTTGTCAACCCATATTTTATTCCTAATACTTATTATTGCTAAATCAATATTTTGTAGTCAGAAAACCAACCGAAATTCTGATTCAATATATTTGTGATCACATAATCTTTCCTCAGAAAAGGATAAATCTAGTATTCAAAATTTTTGCCACCATACAATTTGTAATCCTCTTATTCCATTTTCCATACACTTATATGATATAAAGTTCGTTTTATTTCTCAAGCGAAAAGTTGTTCAGTCAAAAATTCAGACCACGTCAAAAATCTAAACAATTATTTTATTGGTAAAATATGGATCCATATGATGATGCCTTCTTTCAACAGAACGATTATCAATATATACAAACAATTGGTAAGGGTACATACGGCATAGTCTACCTTGTTTACTCTAATCAATATAAGATTCACTTTGGTGTTAAGCGAGTTTTGGCTTCTAAGTTCCAAGAGAACGAGGTAGAGTCAATGATTGCTATTAAGAGTTCATATGTTGTCACCTTATATAAATATTTTTATATACAGCCCTATGTATATATGGTTATGGAATTTTGTCCAAATTCCATAGACCGCATCGTTGCAAGTCCAATTTCTCAACCAGATAGGATATTACAACTAGCATCTGGGATCATTATGGCAGTTAAAGCTTGCCATTCCTATGGTTTTACCCATGGAGATATAAAACCATCGAATTTTCTTGTAGATTCCTATGGAAGAATCAAGATATGTGATTTTGGCTTAGCCAAAAAGCGTGTAGCAGATGAAATATCTACAGGATTCGCCGGAACATTAGCATTCCTCCCTCCAGAAGTCATCAAAATGCAGCCATATGATGCATTTGCTGCAGACATCTGGTCTCTAGGAGTTACTCTGTACTATGTTTTAACAAAACAGTATCCATGGGACATTTCTTCAAAGGAGAAAATGTTAAATGCCATAATGACTGGTACTTTTGATGATTCCAACATCAAAAATGAGACATATGAGAAGATCATTCATGGATGCTTACAAGTTGACCCAGCATCAAGACCGAGCGCGACAGAAATTTCTGAAATGCTCAACTTGAAATTAGATTCGTCTAGAAGAACGCTGAACTATTCATCAACAGCACATCAACCTTTATCTTTAATATTATCACCTTCAATCAAGAAGAGAAGATTAAGTTTTCAATGAACTGTTTGTATAGATCATGTTAAATATCTGTATATCATGCGTTTTTATGCGATTTTTAATATATTATATCTTCTTTTTCCGTTTTTTATTGCTTTTTCATCGTTTAGTGAATTCTCTTGATCGAAAAAAGCTGGAATTACGTGATTATAAGTTAATAGTTTTCTTAATTCCGAACAATGTGAGAGTTCTACCTAATAAAGAATATTATTACCTTTGATTTGGCAGATTGAATCTGAATTTGCTAATGAAGATATAAACTATGAAAAAGCAAATTAACCATAATGCATAAAACTATTTTCTCCAATTCATTTCCTTTAACAGGTCAAATAAAATTTGTCTAAAATTTTTCCCAGATATTAAAAGCTAAATTGTTAATAATCAGCTTCACCGTAGCTAATATGACAAATTATTACTAACGAAACCATTGGTTTTCGATAATTATTTTAACTTATTGAATATGAAATTAAATAGGCTAAAGTTATAACATAGTAAGTATATTTATTAATTATAAATCGCATGGTAATAAATATAAACAATAAAAACAAAATCATTTTTTCAAATCAACCGACATTGCTTTTGTTGCTCTCATCTTCATGACCATCATTGAGTTTCTATCTCTGATCTTCAATGGTGATGTTGCTTTCGGCTTAAATATGAGTGCTCCGGAACTTTGAGCGCCTTTAAGGAAATTCTTATTGTTATGGTCAACGCAGAAAGTGCTGCTGCTTTGAATCTTCTTGAAGTACGACATTGCGAGAAGTTCGTCGATTGTTGCTCTTTCTTCTGGGTTTATTGTTAAGCAGCGCTTGATTACTTTAGCAAGTTTAGGATTATCTATGTTGTAAAGTAGTAATCTGCTGTTTTGTATCTGCTTCAAGAGGATTTCCTTATCATCGGCATTGTATGGATAGTTTTGAGTAGCCATATAATAGAAAGTAATGCCAATGGACCAGACATCTGATTTCATCGGATCGTACTCCTTTTTCTCTAAAACTTCTGGAGCCATGAAAAGAGTTGTTCCTAAAAATAGGTCACTGGTTCTAGTCATACCATGATAAGTTGAGATACCAAAATCGCAAACTTTCAGACGCCCGTATTTGTCGATTAAGAAGTTCGATGGTTTGATATCGTTGTGAGCAATGTAGTTATCATGGCAATTCTTGATGGCAACGAGAATATCATGACAGTACTGGCACAATTGAGGTTCTGCTAATTCACCTTGCTTCATCATTGATGAAAGATCTGATGGGCAGTACTCCATCAATAAGTAAACAAAATTATTGAACTTGTATATATCGTATAGTCCAACAATATTTGACTAATCAAGTTTCTTCATACACTCTACTTCTGTTTCTTTAAACTTCGAAACTGGGATCTTTTTAAGCGCAAAATATGTTTGGTATCTTGCCCAGTATACAAGACTGATTGATCCGTAGCCTCCGGATGCGATTGGCTTGCAATACTGTATTCCAATGTTATTGAAGAAGCTTAATTCACCCTGATCCATTTTTTGAAGTCAAGTCCAGAAAAAAAGTCTCAGAATTTTATATTCAATAATTTTAAATTCTTGTTAATAACTTGGAGTCGAATAAAGATTTTTTAAATCTTAAATTGTGTGTGTTTAGAAACTGTAAAAATTAAATTTCTCCAACTCACTTATTATGATATGGCCAATACAAATACCATAAAATTGATTTTATACTTTTGACAACTTTTTCAAGACGAATTTTACAGGATGGAAAATTTTCTTAAAAGGCTAAAATACTAATCAACATGCTATAAATATGATCATAACTTTTTATCGTATTAATTCTTTATAATTTATTTTACGCATTTTACATAGATAAATTATACTGTAATACATACACAATGAATTCTCCTAAAAAACCATGGACTTGAAGCCACCATTCAATTTTTTCTATCTGCTGAACGATAAATCACAATTCACTTAATTTAAGTGCAATACATTTATATAAACGATATTTTAAATGTAAATTTACTCTCTCACAATTCAATTTCAATAGTCAGAAAAAATCTTTGAGTTTTTCAGTCAATTAATGCGTAACTAAATTTAATTTCACATTAACTTTTTTTCCCAAATTAGGGATTCATCACATATTTAATTCATTTGATCTTGACTCGCTGCATTGCAAAAATTCAGTCGAGGCGAATCCCTAATTCTAACATTCTGTTTTTCTTCAAATCAATGTTCATCAAAACATATCATTGTTTCAGCTGCAATGGCTATTATCGAATTATTCTCCATTACGGAAGCAAACAGTTTTGGTTCGAGTATGACCTTAGAATCAATGTGTGGAGATATTTTCAACTAAAATTCTTATTTATGCAAATAATATATTGAAATGAATTATATTAGATGTTACGTTCTTGATTCCATTAAAAAGCGTATCAGATCTAACAGCTTAATGTCATGCTCTAATGACATTTCATGTCATTAGATTTAAATTCGATTATTGAATAGAAAAAGATTTTGCCTGAAGAAAAATTCTGTAAAATGTACTACAATAAAATTACATGACTTATAGCAGATAGATGGACACGTGTTTGAAAGAATTTGGAGATATTTGAACAAATTTATTTGATAATTATTAGAATAAATATACATTTGTGATGCCTTAGAAAGAGATGTTGGTATTGATATAAAAAACACTTTATTAATATAACAAAAATATAAAAAATCACTGGTTGTCATCATCAGATGACTTATTAATCTTTTCATTGTCTTTAGGCAACGTAGGAATATCATCTAAAAGTATTGGAAGTGAATCTAAATCTTTTATTTCTTCCTCTTCTTTGTATTTAGTTGTATCAGTCGAATTTGAATCAATTAGCTGAGGAGAATCATCATCTTTGGTTGAGAGGAGAATTGGATCTCCATCCGAGTCACTTTCAACGAGATTTTCTTCAGAAATTTCTTGATTTTGGTCATTTGGACTGTTTGTTTGCTGGCTGTCGTTAGAATGGCTCTCCTGGGACTTCTGGTATTTAATCATCTGTTGGAGCATTGATTTCTGGACATCTTCTTCCTCATTTTCGTTTTCTTTTTGTTTAGAAGGTTTCTTTTGCTTTGGCTTCATTTTAATGAGGGCTTTTGCAACAACATTCTGATTCATTGCCTGTTGGTCGGCTATTATTTGGTTTTGGAAGTTAATTATTTCGTCATTTTTCTGAATTGGAGTTTTTTCTTTCGGATTTTGGTCCAATTGCTCAGAGTTCTTCTCGAAATTGCTTATCTTCTGATTAATTGCCATCTCTGCCCTTCCAACTTCGGAATTCTGGATTGTTTGAGTGATTTTCGAACTCAAATCTTTGTAAACAGCCTTGGAATCGTTTGATAGCTGCGAAACTATCTTTTTAGCTTGCTGATCCCTCATTTTCTCCATTTTATTCAACGAATCTCTCATTGGTTTGAAAGAATCTTTTTCAATCTTTTTACTTTCATCGGCAATCTTGTTTTTGAGGTTTTGCAGTTCCATCTGCTGCGGTGCACTCTGTTGCTGTTGGGTTTCCATCATGTTTTTCTGCTGATTTAGATATTTATTCCCTAAATCTTCCATTTGCTGCTGATAACTGTTATCGTTGTTAGTATTTATCTGGTTGTTGACCTGTATGATGAAGTTATTCAGCAGTTGCTGCGAGTTATTCCTCTGATTCCTTGAAACTGCTTACAATGAAATCGAAAATTCGAAATCAGAAAAATAATTATAATATTTCTTGTATTTTTTATTTATTTATTGTTTTAAAAGTTAGATTATATTTTGGAAAAAGTGATTTTTTTATAAACTTTCATTCAAAAAATTAAATTTGATTTTTGATTTTATGCCAAATATCAAAATTATTGAGTTAATAAAATTAGTAGGTATACTTTTAATATCGATTCGATAAAACTAAAAAAAATAATCACATTAGATATTGTAGATCAAGAAAGAAAATAAATTCGAGATATATCTTTTCTAAATTTAATTTTTTCTTTATAAAAAATATTTTAGTACAAGAAATATTTGAGAAATAAAAAGTTTTTTTCTTTAATTCCTTTCTAAACAACATAATTTGCATCAGAATCCTCATGATATGCATTTTCTTTTGCATTTCTAATTGCAAATATAACCAAAACTGCAATAAATGCAATCACAATTAAAGCTGCAACTCCGGCACATGCCGCAATAATTATCAACTTTTTCTTTTTAGCCTTCTTTTCTGCTGCTTTGGAATTTTCATATGAACCTCCAGTTCCTGAAGGATTTTCAACTCCAGGTCCTGATGGATTATTTCCTGGTTCAGGCTGTGTCGGTGTTGGAGAATCACTATTCAATTGCCTTGTATCTGGATTGAATGGGTCAACAACAAACTTCATTTCGTTAAGTTTCACAGACCTGCAGAATCTCTCAGGATCAACACAAGAAACTTGTCTGGGATAACCGCTTACTGACATAGATAATACAGCTGTTGCATTATCTTTTGTGCATGTGACGCTTTCAAACATTGCTTCCAGATGTTATTTGTTGACTTGAATTGTGAACGATTTATATCCGTCGCATGTATATGTACCGCATTTGTGGTAATAATATGACGTTGATGGAAGAATAGCTTGTCCATTAGGACAAACATAATTTGGGAAATAAAATGGAATGAAATCATAAACTTGTGTTCTACCAACTCCAATGCCTTTCGGATCGTAAAATTGTTTTTGTTCATTAGATAATCCATCAATGGTTACAGGTCCTGAAAATGGTCCGGAGAATTTGAAATCAAAACTTGCATACCAATCTTCTTGAACTGAGAAGTCATTCATATAATACTTAGGGAAAACATTTTGTGGAGGACCAATTGCAAAGTTTGGAATTGGTTTTCCATCAATTGATTCTGGGTGGCCCCATACTAATGGTTGTCCCATTCTCCAGTTAACTTTGTAGTTACCTGTATCTAAAAGAATTGCAAGGACAGCGTCAGTCAATCTAGCAAATGGTCCAGATTTTGTTTGAATTGTCATGCCAACCATCAAATCTGACATGTAAGATCTTGCTTCTAAATGACTTCCTGCTGTTCCTTGACCGCCATCATTTTCGATTTCTAATCCAGATGGGCAAGTTCTGTCATCTCCTACGAAAACTTCTACTCCAAAGCGCTTCACTGCAAATTTATGAGCGTATGGTGTTACTAAGAACGAAAAGTCTCTTCCATACTTTCTGAAACTGCATACTATTTGTGAATGTGGAGTTATGGAATCATGTGGATGATAGTGTCGGAAATCTGATGGAGAAATACCCAAAGCATGGAAAATTTCGTGAACGCAAGTATAAAAGAATCTTGAATCCTTTGTGTTTTCATCTTGTGCTGTATCAGGAACTGCCATTGGATTTAAGAAAACGACACCAAATATTGGTCTGTGATATGTTCTCTCTTCTGCTAATCCAGCAGCTGATGCGAGAGTAGCATCATTATCCTGTCTCGGTCTTGAAAGTACTGCAAGTACTATATCGTAACCGTATGCGCTTTGTTTGCCAAAATTCGTCTCGTTTCGATAACGGCTAGGAAAATCTACATAATTAATATAATGATTATATGGAACTACTGTAAGAAGTCTCTCTAAATATGATTTGACATTATTAAGTGTTCCTTTAATAGCCAAAATTTTTGAATTTGACAAAATATGTTCCTGTTTGCAAATATATCTTACGCCTTGGAATACAACTAGTTGTCCAGCTCGTTTACAAGTTCGTTGATCATCTTTTTTATTATCAATATAATTATAATCTACCTTAATTCTGATGTTTTTCCATTCGGTATTTTTAAGGCTGCGATATGATTGAGGTCCTTGAAGTTCTCTTGTTATGTTACCCATTTCAAGATCATGATTGCATGTATGCACATCTAGCTGAGCAACGAGGAGTAGAGACAATATCATTTTATGATTTCAATAGCTATTTAAAAAATTAAATATAAAATGGATCACATTGAAAAATATATATTTTGTAGCATCTCATTTAATAATTGTAATTGATATAAACTATTGCATCTAAAATTTTATAATATTGAATATCCTTAGAATAGGATATTTTATTGCATTCAATTTTGAATGATCATTCAAAGCATATAACAAAATACGTGATTATATTGGCTTCTCAAATATTTTTCATTGAAAAACTTTAAAAATATTTTTCATTGAAAAAGAATTTGAAAAGATTTTCATAGGGGAAAACGGTTTGAAAAATTCAATGTTTACAGTATTATATTTTTTGCCCAAAACGAAGTCTCTCATTCATTTAAGATATAAGCTTAATTAAAAGGCATTATAATCATTTATAAGTCAGCATTTCGGAGTCAATTTAGTTCAATCTTTGCTTATATTCCTAAGCCGCTCGCTTCGCTCGCGCAAATTACAGAATTTGGATGCAATACCCCTCATTTCATTGTTGAGAATGCCAAGTCTTTTCAAGATAAAATTATTACAGATTTCCACCTTCAAATTTATACAACATTATAAAAATTTATGAAGAAAAACTTGATATAAAATAACATTTTTATTTTTACTAAGAAAAAAAAGGTTTTTGATAATAAATTTATTTTATTTCGAAAAAGTAACAATAATCGTAAAAGGGTATTGATAGGCTTGCTAAAGTAACTAATTTTAGCTGTCAAATACTTTTGTATTTTGAAGTAAATTAGTATAAATTTGTTTTTACTTTTATTTCGAAAAAGTAACAATAATCGTAAAAGGGTATTGATAGGCTTGCTAAAGTAACTAATTTTAGCTGTCAAATACTTTTGTATTTTGAAGTAAATTAGTATAAATTTGTTTTTACTTTTATTTCGAAAAAGTAACAATAATCGTAAAAGGGTATTGATAGGCTTGCTAAAGTAACTAATTTTAGCTGTCAAATACTTTTGTATTTTGAAGTAAATTAGTATAAATTTGATATTATTTTAACTCCCTTTGAAAACCTCAATTTTCCATACAGAGGGAACGGGAATAGCATCCAATATTCCCTGAGAATGGTTGCGCATTCTCAGTTCCCTCTATATTTCGAACGAAGCTCTCATCGGTCTTTTTTTTAATACTAAACGTTTTTTTTCCTGTCACTTTTAGCTAAAATTTGGGTTTGCCGTAGTTTTATCTGGAAACCAAGTTATAAGGTTGAGTCAATTTTTAGGAAATGATTAATTTTATTTTAGGATTGTCATGTTGATTTATTATATGATTTGTAACTCAATTTGCCATAAAGTCAATAAATTAGAGATTGAATATACTCTTTTGCTCAATGAAATTCAAAATTGAAAAGGAATTGAATTTTTCAAGTTATGTAAAATATTATTATTATGATTATATTTCATGTTTTAAATTTTAAGTGTAAAAAATTCACATTGAAATATTTGAGAGTCAATTATAAAAATGCTAACTTTTCTCAGTATTCTTAAGAATAGTTATGGATACGACACGACAAAAATTAGTAAATATTCCGAAAATTTAAACAGAGGAGTTGTTGCAGTTAGGGCAGGTAATGGAATTTCATTCATTTCGTGGAGATTTCTAATAACGGATGATGATAGCATTGCTTTTAATGTTTATAGAATTGATGAAAACTCAACAACTGTAAAACTTAACTCAAATCCAATTACAGATGTCACACATTTCTATGATAAAAATCACAATAAGAGTAAATCATATAAATATTTTGTTGGATCAATTATTAACGATGTTGAAGTCGAAAATAGTAGTTTCTTTGAGTTACCAGCAAATACACAGATATTCCATGTATTCGGATTCCAATCCATAATGGAACGCAATTCAGAACAGTATGGGTAGGCGATCTTGATGGAGATCGAAATCTTGATTTCGTCCTTGTAAGAGACAGAGATGAAATTCAGACTGTTGAAGCATATTTGCACAATGGAACTTATTTATGGACATTAAACCTTGGTCATAACAGTATAAATAAGGATAGAATCAAACCTGGAGCTACCACAATTAATGTTGGCCAAGTTGATGGATTAAGTGTGTATGATTTAAATGGCGACGGAAAAGCTGAAGTATATATCCGAATTGCTAACAATTTCACCTTCGGAGATGGATATGTATTCATTCATGATAATGATGTTGATCAATGGATTGCTTGTATTGATGGATTAACAGGCAAATTGAAACAAAAAGTTAAACTTCCTAATTTCAAGCCTGAATATGGTTCTGTATCAGCACAGTTTGGTGTGCTGGGTGGGCAACCCTTGAAAAACCAGCCTTATTTGTTGCAACAAAAAATCGAATCACTGGTGGAAAGAGATTCTTCAATATTTATTCCGCTTTTTCATTTATAAATGGTGTGTTTGGCTTAGATTGGAACTTTACTGACTCTTTTGACAATGATGATTCTACTTATCACAACGGACATCATTTCAGACTTGCAGATGTTGATTATGATGGTATTGATGAGTTTCATGAGATCGGATTTACATTAAATGGCAACGGAACATTAAGATATAATCTTGGAAAATCTAATATTAGACATGGTGATAGATTCTATGTCTCCAAGTTCAATAAAGAAGACACAACAATGAGTGGATA